CCCCCCCCCCCCCCCCGCACCTCCCCAGAAAATCCGTGCCTGTACTGCACTGTACTGTACTGTACTGTACTGTACTGTACTGTACTGGAGCTACCATTAAACCTACCGTAACTGGCTAACATCTCCAAAATTTGTGTGCTGCATTTCTGTTCTTTGCAGTGTTGGGATAAGTATGAAACCAGCTATGTATGCCTGAAGTTACTGGCTAACAGCTTCAAGAATCATGTGGAGCCAGTATCTAAGCGCAGAGTTAATGACTGCCGGCCTAGACAAAACTCCATTCGAAGATTGACTACCTCCACTACAAAAGTAAAATCTACTTGCGTACAGATAGCTGCAGTACCATCATCCCTATTCATAGCAAGCTGCATGATGGTTCATATTCATGCGTCACGCTTGCAGATAATCCGTTTGATCATAACGACTGTTGGTTATATTGGCTCGTGAGTAATCATACTGTGTGTTTCAAACTAATACATTTTTCTGAGTAGAACCAGACGCTGAAGGCGATTAAGAAGGATGACATGGAATATGTTAAAGTTGAAGAAAACCAAGTAAACACTTTTCTGATGACTTTTCAAGAACTTAATGATATTTCTATCAAGAACAGAGTAAGTCAATGGTTTAACCATAGCCTGTCGAAGAGAAGATGGCTGTGAAAGTTGAAACTCATTAGAATAACAATATAACTCATTATCTATGTTAGTCAACGTTTATTCATAAATCTGGTCCCTCACCGTCACGTGTGTATTGTATTTTTACCAAATCCACCAATAGCAATTTCCAGTTTCCCTATTGTTCGAGTCACGGATAGGTGACTTTCCTAAAACATTCCTATTGGTTAGTTGGGCAACAATACGATACACACGTGACGGTGAAGGACCAGATTTATGAATAAACGTTGACCAACATAGATCATGAGTTATATTGTTATTCTAATTAGTTTCACGATACGTAGTCTGTACATATATCTTTTTACTGGATAGAAATATAATAAATTTGTTTCCGCACGTATAGTTAACCAAAATAGAGAAGGGGGAATTTAAAAACATCTTTTTTTAGGTTGTGACCGTTGGGGAACTTTTTGGTAAACAGTTGTTACAGATTCCTGGCGTGGCTGCGGAGAAAGTTGTCGGAATTTTGGAACATTATCCAACGTTAAGAGAGTATGTACTGGAGAAAATTACTTTATAGTTTTGAGAACATTTAACACGTGTTCATCCATTCTAACACTATAACAGTATTCTGATATCATCATATGACTCAAATAGGACAATATGATTGGTTTATTTACTCATAAACAAGTGATTAGTGGGTTTCGGGATAACAATATAACTCATTATCAATGTTAGTCAACGTTTATTCATAACTCGCGTGTGTATTGTATTTTTGCCCAACTATAACCAATAGCAATGCTTTAGGAAAGTTACCTATCCGTGACTCGAACAATAGGAAAATTGCTATTGGTGGATTTGGCAAACATACAATATACACGTGACGATGAAGGTCCAGAGTTATATGCATGAATAAACGTTGACTAACAAAGATGACGAGTTTTATTGTTATTTTAATGAGTTGCACAGCCATCTTCTGACTTCTCTTCGATAGGCTATGGTGAAACCAACCATGAAACCAAACATCCATAATGTTTATTACGTTCAGTCTTTTAGAAGCATACGAAGAAAAGACGACGGAGAAGGAAAAAGAGAATTTGCTTAGTGATATAAAGTTTGGCAAGACACAGAGGTATTTACCAACAATTTCTGTTAAAAATTGGGGCAGGGCCGGTTTAGGGTGTGGCTATTTCTCAACACCTTCACCTCTTTTTAGGAAAATTGGTCCATCTGTCAGCAAAACTGTTCATCAGCTCTATTGCACCAAAGGCGCTCTGTTGTAGTTCCAGTCGTACTTGGTGTTCGTTCTTCACATACAGTATCTACGTTCAATATATTAGAATACCGTTCCAGATTATCTTGTACATTCTCGTTACACAACCTCATATGTTGGCATGTTGCTCTTTATTTGGGGCCATAATGAGAGATCTTAATTTAGATGTCAGTTTTGTCGGCTAAAATTCATGCCAGTTTCAGTAAGATATTTTGAAAAATGTCAGTTCTAAATTGCAGTTGTCAACTATCAGTTAAGAAATTTTATCAGTTGTCAATGATCGCAAGGTTTTGCACGCAAGTAGTATGTTTATCCAGCCTATGCAAGTCTATCCAATATGCCCCTACAATAAGACCAACCTCCGCATGTGACTTGTTAAAATAAAGTTTTATATTAATAATATATATTGTTACTGTTAATAAAACCAAAATATGTAAATTGAAAAGATTATATTTTATATTTGTATGATAAATGTATTAAAGGTTTCAAATTGTTTTTATTTAATTTGTGACTAGTTGGTGTTTTACAGTATTACTGCACATCCTTCAAAGTTCAGAGACATTTAGATTCAGAGTGGTGATGAAGGGGACTGCAAAGGGAAAGTGAAGACGTCTTGATGAGGAACCTAGATGAATTCTCAGATGCTTGTCTCTTCAGGTAAGGACAATACCTGTCACTAGAAGTAAGTAGTAGAATACATGTCACTTTTGATGTTCATCTTCTTTTTTAAATGTAAGCACGGTCTCTTCGACCTAGATATCTCCTCTTTCGTCACTTTTTCTTCAAACAGCTCGTCACACACCCGTTCAAGTTCGGACAACTTGCTTCATGTTAATCATTGCAGGACTTCTCTCTTTAGGAACTCTTCTTTCAACCGAATTGTCTTTCTCTGGAATAACCTCTCCTCTCCCACTATTCGTAATAGTTCATCCGTTTCCTCCTTTAAAAACAGACTAACTGTTAACCTTCTGTTCTAAGTGCCGCTCTTTCAACTTAAGCTATTGTTCGTAATTCGTCATGTTTTCTGTAAATTGTATATTTGTTCTCGTCTTTGATTTATGTTTGTTATAGTTTGTTTTCATTAAGGTTGGTCTTCACATGGGGCTATTCATGTCCTGTTGACCATACCTTCAACCATATTATGTAATGGTTTAATCTATTTTATGTTTGGTTGTAAAGTTAATAAATAAATAAATAAAAATAATAAATAAGGATGTTAAAATTGTAGGTTACTTCATTACTTGGATCCCCTATCAATTGGGCAATAGCCTGTTGGGAAATCTGTTCACCAATGTCAATGAGTTACCCTGGTTCCAGAGGTTTATTTTTTAAAAATAAACCTCTGGAACCTGGGTACCAGTGAGTGAGAAACTCTGAAACTCAATAAACAAGGAGGTAAATTTTGATGGTTTTCCTTGTCTTAATTAAGCTAAGGAAAATTTCCCAACCGATACTCTGGCAGTGGCATAACGTTATATCAGGGGGGGCCCAGTTCAAAATTTTCGAAGGCCCCGAAAGTAAAAGTGCCAAAGGCACGGTCAAGCACCGTATATGCACGAGTTTTCTAGGGGTAGAGGCATGCTCACCCGGAAAATTTTTGAATCTAGACTCCCTGAAATGCCATTTCCCGGACTTTGAGGAGAGATTTTACAGACCTCTGATGGTCAGAAAACGACATTATAGCATGTCAGAGGCCAATGTTTTTGCTCCACAGCCTGAACCTAGGGGCCCCATTTGGCCCATTGGGGTTGGGGACCCCTGGGTTCTCCCGGTCCGAGCCCATAGTAGTTACGCCACTGTAGTCTGGCAGTTCTGCTGATGAACTCAAAAACAAAACTAGTAAATTTGTGTTTATTCAATGCCACTAACCAAAATATGACAATATCTAATTCACTAAAACTTTGGTACATAGCATAAGTTTGTGTCTTTTCACTGCATCTATTGGTCCTCTATTAACTATGATTGGTCATTTGAGTCATTTAATTAACTATTTAATATAATTACACCATTCCTTCAATCAATCCAATTCCCTGCCAGCAGAGGCTTTTCTATGGTGGAAATCTCTGTGTGTTTAACTGGATCTTTACCAGAATATTTCAAATAAGACAAAAATATGTCCCAAACCAGCTCAAGGAATTGAAAATAGACAAACCGATAATGTAATGGTACCCACTTGTACCCTATAAATGACACAAAAGGCCAAAACATTGTATCCGGTATAAGTGCTTTGAAATATACCCGATTCAACTCTGATATGCATTCTTCAATGGTATCCCCTTTGACATAATTAAAGACAGCAAAGAAACCTATGTAGTCTAATGGTGTCACAGTTGTTTGGTCAAGTATAACTTTTAGCCATGTTTGAGATGGTTTGATTAAATGGTCAACCAGTTTGTACCATAGATGCCAGAGCGGGGCAGTGGTACAGGCATATGTTACCATATGTTGTGTCCTTTGGGTGTCCAGTGTTTGATGGCCTTGTACAAACTTCTGTGCAATGTAGTCTGAAGTACCAGCAAGGCAACAGGAGAGGGATATATTTGTCAGCAAAGGATGTCTTTTAAAACAGGCTTCATTTATACGCCGCAGAAAAGAGCAAATTGTTGAACCAGACATCTCACTAAATCCTGGCCCAAATTTTCATTGTTCGTTTATCTGGATAAAAAAAATTGACCATATGCGAATTTAATAAATACCAATCAGATCAGTCAGCAACTACCAGTCAGCAACCTTTCACAGACCAAGTTGTTGGAGAGAGCTGGATGCTAATAAATACTGCCACTTTACTGAAATTTTCAAGTCCTTTCTAAAGGATTAAACTAAAACTTTGAGAATGATTTATTTACTTATCTTCAAACCGGATGTTCTCTTGCGAGCAACATTGCAAAATCATTTAGAAAAATGTGCAAGACAATGAAAACTTTCATTTCTAAGTGGAAGTTTTGATCGCGAAATTCCTTGGGGAACTAAGTACTAAACATGCGCAGTGCGCTTTCTCTTTCTTTCTAAAATTCTGGTTGCACCATCACGTGTAATTTAGGTAAGATTTAAACAAAAATTCTCACTTTTTCACCATTATTTCGCAAGTTGTCTCGTAATGGAACGTTAAACCTTAATCTCGGGATATTTTTCTGTAGGTTTTGTGCCATTTTAAAGCAATGCAGTTGTTTATTCGGGGTGCTGAATTGAACGTTGTGTGTGTCGATGAGTGTTTGACTGTTGATGGATTAAAACATCAAATCGCCGATCTAGAAGGCATTACAGTTGAGGATCAAGTGCTGTCATTCGGTGGCAAACCTTTGGAAGGTGAAAGCACTTTGGTTGAATATGGCATCCATGATTCATGTACTTTGGATGTTGTAGGACGAGTTCTTGGAGGTATAATTATAGAATTTAGAAATAGATGAAACTTTTTAATTATTTCTATCGCCCAACCAGACTGGAAAGTTTGGAAATTGCACACCGGAGATTTCGAAAATTTAATAGTAAATATATAGAAAGCATCAAAATTGTGCGGCCGATATCTCCGCTATGCGATACAAACTTTCCACACCGGCTAGTTTCCATTATGTTCATCTTAGCCCCCGTGGGCGGACATTTGATACATTGCGCACTATGTTATTGGTGTATACTCAATAGTGTCCGCTTTGCCCCCACAGGCAAAGTAATGGAAACCAGCCTTTAGATTGGACCGTGACTATAAGATTTGTTGTTTGCTGTCTTCTCATGCCATACTCATTTCATATAATTTCTTGTAGTAGGTACTTTTTTTTTGCTACAAGATTCATCAAAAATCCTGTTCTAAATTTGAACACAATTGGGTTGTTCCAGAAAAGATC